CCATCATCGTAAACATCGCCATCGTCATCATCACCGTTTTGATCCTCATCGTCGTCATCATCATCATCATCGGCATTTCCATCATTCCAGCAGCCATCAAATATGTCAATATACTATAATTTTATCGCAGCCTTCCACGAAAAATTGTGGTGTTGTCGTCATGACGTCATGATGACGTAACTGATGGCGATGACGTCACAAGTATTTGTCTATGCACGCACGCACGCTTGATGTCTCGTTTCGTTTCGTGTATGTGTGGTTTCGTTTGATTTATGAATGAATGAATGATTAGATGAATGAATGGTTAAATGAATGAATTAATAAATGAATCAATCAATCAATGAAAGAACGAATGACGGCAAAATAAATGAATTTGAAATAATTAATTAATTAATTAATTAGCTATCGTTACGACCAGTCTGTCAATCAATCAACTATTCGATCAGTCAATCAAACAACCTACTAATCAACCAACAAATCAATCAATCAATCAATCAAACAGATGATAAAAAATTGTAAACTAGAAAACAAAAATCAATAAATTAATTAGGCCATCCATCAACTAAAGCACACTCTACAGCCATTTACGAATTCAAAAGAGCTAAGTATGATTAATGTTGTTTCTGTTGTTGTTGATGTTGATTTTTTTTGTTGCCGTTGTTGTGGTTGAAGTTGATAATGTTGTTATTGCTGTTGTTGTTGTTGTTTTTGCTGTTGTTGTTGTTTTTGTTGTTGTTGTTGTTGATGTTTTTGTTGCTGTTGATGTATTGTTGTTGCTGTTGTTGCCCCTTCAGTCAATTTCCATTCGCTTCATGCATAACCCGAGCTAATCAGCAACCACCGTCGGGTATCGCCATAGGCTTATTGTAGCGAGAACCGTATCATTCTCAGGGCAGTTGAACAAGTAGAGAACATTGTTCACATGCGAACGAAGTTGTGTCTGTGTGGATCCTTCCTCTGTAGCTGCCAAGAAAAATACAATGGCTAAATCGAAGTTGAACCCCAGAGTCAAGATTCACCATCACCATGTTCATCATCTTCATCGTCATCGTCATCATCGTCATCTTCGTCATCATCAATCGACCGCCCCATTCATCATCATTATAATTCAATTGCAAAATGCCATGTTTCAAGGGTAGATAAAAGTTGTGTGATGAATTTGTGGAAAAAATAAAAATAAATAAATTCAAAAAGAGAAAAGAATTAATTGAATTAATACAAATAATATCATGAAATATATAAATATTATATTATAAGTGGGTGTATTTATAATAATTATATTCATAATTTTGTCTGAAATAATTTTTTAATTCATTCAATCAATTTAATTGTTTATTATTCCATTGATTAGTTAATTCATACCAACATTCATTCATACATACATTAATTTATTAATTCATTCAGTAATTCATTCATTCATTTGTTCATTCATCATTCATTCATTCATTCGTTTGTTCGTTCTTTCTTTCATTCATTCAGCCAGTCTATCAATTATTTATTTTCCTCTGTTACTAGCATTGATTTTAAAGAACGAAATTTTTTGTGATGTGTTTTTTTGGTGTGTCTTCCATTCTTCAGCAAACAATGGAATTGATATTATTAATAGTTTTATGTATGTATGTATGTATGTATGTATGTATGTATGTATGTATGTATGTATGTATGTATGTATGTATGTATGTATGCATGTATGTATGTATGTATGTATGTATGTATGTATGTATGTATGTATGTATACAATCGTTTTTATATAAAGAGTCAAAAATATCCATGCAAAGCAAGCAAAAGCTAATCGTTAAATAAGTCTTTCCATTATAAAAGTGAGATTTCTTCTTCTTCTTCTTCTTATTATTATTATTAATATTATTGATTTGTTATAGATATTACTAATATTATAATCGTTATTCTTGTTGTTATTATTATTACTATTATTATTGTTGTTGTTGTTATTAAACATAAAAATTTCATGTTATCATTTTCAAGTAACGCTGATGTTAAATGACTTTGACAGGGCTATCTCTCTCATCATCATCATCATCATCATCACAATCATTACTATCATCGTCGTCGTCTTCGTCTTCGTCATCATTCATCTCGAGTCGGTATGAAAGAAAATAATAATAATAGTAATAATAATAATAATAATAATAATAATAATAATAATAATAATAATAATAATAGTAATAATAATAACAAGGCATTTTGATAATAACAACAATAAAAGCCTTTGTTACATTAAGAACAATGACAACAATGACAACAAAAAATTTAAGAAAACATGAAGACTGAAAAAAATTAAACAAAAAAGCTGACAAAATGTTTAAAAGGTTTAGATCAAAATCTCAAAACAACAACACCACCAACAACA